CTGTGCCAACACACACACACATACACACACTAACACACTAACACACTTACACACATACACACACAGACACACACTAACACACTTACATATACACACACAGAAACACACAGACACACACACACTTACACACAGACACACACTAACACACACACTTACACACAGACACACTCACACATTCTCACACACACTCACACACACACTCACACACACTCACTCACACACACTCCCACACACACACATACACACTCACACTCACTCAGACACACTTACTCACACTTACACACTCACTCACACTCACTCCCACACACACAGACACACACTTACACACACAGACACACACTAACCCACTTACACACACACATACACACACAGAAGCACACAGACACACACAGACACACACACTTACACATACACACACAGAAACACACTAACACACACTTACACACAGACACACACTAACACACACATACATATTCACTAACACACTTACACACACTAACACAATTACACACATACACACAGTCACACCCAAACACACACAGACACACACTAACACACGCACACTAACACACACACAGACACACACAAACACACACTAACACACACACTAACACACGCACATACACACACAGACTAACACACACACTAACACACACACTAACACACACACAGACACACACTAACACACACACGCTTACACACAGACACACACTAACACACGCACATACACACACCAATACCAAAACCCGTTACTCGCCACTATGTGACGGTGACGTCACCACGGCGCCTGTGCCAGGCTAGGTGCACTTTGATGCCACGTGGAGTGTCGAAGGCTCGCAGACCAGGAGGTCACGTGACAGACCCAGCAGGTGCCGCGTGTTGACTGCTGTGCCAGGCTAGGTGCAGGAGGTCACGTGACAGACCCTGCAGGTGCCACGGGTTGACTGCTGTGCCAGGCTAGGTGCAGGAGGTCACGGGACAGACCCGGCAGGTGCCACGGGTTGACTGCTGTGCCAGGCTAGGTGCAGGAGGAGGTCACGTGACAGACCCTGCAGGTGCCATGGGGTTGACTGCTGTGCCAGGCTAGGTGCAGGAGGTCACGGGACAGACCATGCAGGTGCCATGGGTTGACTGCTGTGCCAGGCTAGGTGCAGGAGGTCACGGGACAGACCCAGCAGGTGCCACGGGTTGTACTGCTGTGCCAGGCTAGGTGCAGGAGGAGGTCACGGGACAGACCCCGCAGGTGCCATGGGTTGTACTGCTGTGCCAGGCTAGGTGCAGGAGGAGGTCACGACACAGACCCAGCAGGTGCCACGTGTTGACTGCTGTGCCAGGCTAGGTGCAGGAGGAGGTCACGGGACAGACCCTGCAGGTGCCACGGGTTGTACTGCTGTGCCAGGCTAGGTGCAGGAGGAAGTCACGGGACAGACCCTGCAGGTGCCATGGGTTGTACTGCTGTGCCAGGCTAGGTGCAGGAGGAGGTCACGGGACAGACCCTGCAGGTGCCATGGGTTGTACTGCTGTGCCAGGCTAGGTGCAGGAGGAGGTCACGGGACAGACCCAGCAGGTGCCACGCGTTGACTGACCGAGATGACCGGCAGATGCAACTACCCCTTTCACCACAGCCACAACACCACCACCATCACCACAACACCACCACTACCACAACAACACCACCAAAACACCACCACCACAACACCACCACTACCACAACACCACCACCACAACACCACCACCATCACCAAAACACCACCACCACAACACCACCACCACCAAAACACCACCACCACAACACCACCACCACAACACCACCACCAATGTTCGTCTATGGGCAGTGTTAGTCTATGGGCAGTGTTAGTCTATGGGCAATGTTAGTCTATGGGCAGTGTTAGTCTATGGGCAGTGTTAGTCTATGGGCAATGTTAGTCTATGGGCAGTGTTAGTCTATGGGCAGTGTTAGTCTGTGGGCAGTGTTAGTCTGTGGGCAATGTTAGTCTATGGGCAGTGTTAGTCTATGGGCAATGTTAGTCTATGGGCAGTGTTAGTCTATGGGCAATGTTAGTCTATGGGCAATGTTAGTCTATGGGCAATGTTAGTCTATGGGCAGTGTTAGTCTATGGGCAATGTTAGTCTATGGGCAGTGTTAGTCTATGGGCAATGTTAGTCTATGGGCAATGTTAGTCTATGGGCAGTGTTAGTCTATGGGCAATGTTAGTCTATGGGCAATGTTAGTCTATGGGCAGTGTTAGTCTATGGGCAATATTAGTCTATGGGCAATGTTAGTCTATGGGCAATGTTAGTCTATGGGCAATGTTAGTCTATGGGCAGTGTTAGTCTATGGGCAATGTTAGTCTATGGGCAGTGTTAGTCTATGGGCAATGTTAGTCTATGGGCAGTGTTAGTCTATGGGCAATGTTAGTCTATGGGCAGTGTTAGTCTATGGGCAATGTTAATCTATGGGCAGTGTTAGTCTATGGGCAATGTTAGTCTATGGGCAGTGTTAGTCTATGGGCAATGTTAGTCTATGGGCAGTGTTAGTCTATGGGCAATGTTAGTCTATGGGCAGTGTTAGTCTGTGGGCAGTGTTAGTCTGTGGGCAGTGTTAGTCTATGGGCAGTGTTAGTCTATGGGCAGTGTTAGTCTATGGGCAATGTTAGTCTATGGGCAATGTTAGTCTATGGGCAATGCTAGTCTATGTACAATGTTAGTCTATGGGCAGTGTTAGTCTATGGGCAATGTTAGTCTATGGGCATTGTTAGTCTGTGGGCAATGTTAGTCTGTGGGCAATGTTAGTCTATGGGCAATGTTAGTCTATGGGCAATGTTAGTCTATGGGCAATGTTAGTCTATGGGCAATGCTAGTCTATGTGCAATGTTAGTCTATGGGCAGTGTTAGTCTATGGGCAATGTTAGTCTATGGGCAATGTTAGTCTATGGGCAGTGTTAGTCTATGGGCAATGTTAGTCTATGGGCAGTGTTAGTCTATGGGCAATGTTAGTCTATGGGCAATGTTAGTCTATGGGCAGTGTTAGTCTATGGGCAATGTTAGTCTATGGGCAATGTTAGTCTATGGGCAGTGTTAGTCTATGGGCAATGTTAGTCTATGGGCAGTGTTAGTCTATGGGCAATGTTAGTCTATGGGCAATGTTAGTCTATGGGCAATGCTAGTCTATGGGCAATGTTAGTCTATGGGCAATGTTAGTCTATGGGCAATGTTAGTCTATGGGCAATGTTAGTCTATGGGCAGTGTTAGTCTATGGGCAATGTTAATCTATGGGCAGTGTTAGTCTATGGGCAATGTTAGTCTATGGGCAGTGTTAGTCTATGGGCAATGTTAGTCTATGGGCAATGTTAGTCTATGGGCAATGTTAGTCTATGGGCAGTGTTAGTCTGTGGGCAGTGTTAGTCTGTGGGTAATGTTAGTCTATGGGCAGTGTTAGTCTATGGGCAATGTTAGTCTATGGGCAATGTTAGTCTATGGGCAATGTTAGTCTATGGGCAGTGTTAGTCTGTGGGCAGTGTTAGTCTATGGGCAATGTTAGTCTATGGGCAGTGTTAGTCTATGGGCAATGTTAGTCTATGGGCAATGTTAGTCTATGGGCAGTGTTAGTCTATGGGCAATGTTAGTCTATGGGCAATGTTAGTCTATGGGCAATGTTAGTCTATGGGCAGTGTTAGTCTATGGGCAGTGTTAGTCTATGGGCAATGTTAGTCTATGGGCAATGTTAGTCTATGGGCAATGTTAGTCTATGTACAATGTTAGTCTATGGGCAGTGTTAGTCTATGGGTAATGTTAGTCTATGGGCAGTGTTAGTCTGTGGGTAGTGTTAGTCTATGGGCAATGTTAGTCTATGGGCAGTGTTAGTCTATGGGTAATGTTAGTCTATGGGCAGTGTTAGTCTATGGGCAGTGTTAGTCTATGGGTAATGTTAGTCTATGGGCAGTGTTAGTCTGTGGGTAGTGTTAGTCTATGTGAAGTATGGGAATTGACGGCAGGAACTTCTTGACGGGAACACACTTTTTATTAAATCTTTACGTGTCAAAATACAACGTGTAGTCTCCTTTCTTCCGACTTCACACTCCACTACTCTCGTGTAAACTCTAGGCCTCTGGCTACACACGATACCCTTCACTCGTGTAGACCCTACGCCTCTGGCTACACAATACACTCGACTCGTGTAGACCCTATGTCCCTGGCTACACAATACACTCGACTCGTGTAGACCCTATGTCCCTGGCTACACAATACACTCGACTCGTGTAGACCCTATGTCCCTGGCTACACAATACACTCGACTCGTGTAGACCCTATGTCCCTGGCTACACAATACACTCGACTCGTGTAGACCCTATGTCCCTAGCTACACAATACACTCGACTCGTGTAGACCCTATGTCCCTGGCTACACAATACACTCGACTCGTGTAGACCCTATGTCCCTGGCTACACAATACACTCGACTCGTGTAGACCCTATGTCCCTGGCTACACAATACACTCGACTCGTGTAGACCCTATGTCCCTGGCTACACAATACACTCGACTCGTGTAGACCCTATGTCCCTGGCTACACAATACACTCGACTCGTGTAGACCCTATGTCCCTGGCTACACAATACACTCGACTCGTGTAGACCCTATGTCCCTGGCTACACAATACACTCGACTCGTGTAGACCCTATGTCCCTGGCTACACAATACACTCGACTCGTGTAGACCCTACGCCTCTGGCTACACAATACACTCGACTCGTGTAGACCCTATGTCCCTGGCTACACAATACACTCGACTCGTGTAGACCCTATGTCCCTGGCTACACACGCTGCATTCGGCTCGTGTAGCCCTTATGCCTCTGGCTACACACACTACACTCGCCTCTGGGTTACACAGAGTCCCGGTCCCGTTAGGACAGCGGGACTAGGTACCGCAGGGCCCTATGTCTTCATCCCCGTCTTCATTCTTCGCTGGTTACACACTGCCCTCACGCCTGTGTGCATCCCCT